CCCCCCCACGTCCCGAATATCGTGACCGTACGTCGAGCGGTTAAGATTTGTGTCCAACTGTTGACGGACGGACGGACGCTCGGACGGACGCTCGGACGGACGCACGGACGATCATGCGATTCTACAAGCTGCATCTGACTATGTCAGATGAGCTAATAAAACATCAACGTTGATTTTGTTGAAAGTTGTATTATATGCAGTTTCGCGAGCACTGGCGTGGATGTGACTGTCTGATGTATCGACACGCTAACGTTATCTTACATGGCGGAAATATTGAGTTGCTGTACATATATAGATCACCGATCTCCATATACTAGGATTACTCCATTTGACTATCAAAAAGGTTAGCATACGAAGATCGGGGATATAGACACTGGTCAGTGGCCGCCATATTTGTTCAGACGGCCCATATTGTCAATGGGCGTTATGTTTGCCCCGATGACGTCATCGGTTACCGCGTGCCAATAGATATGGAATTGCGTTAGATTGCAAGCACTACACAGAGAAGAGATTGGCGTCGATCAACGTAATCCATCTGTAGGCTCTGCGACAATGCATCTTCCCTTTAAAGTCGAGTTGTGGCGAGACGAATGTCAAGGGGAAATCGATAGCTGCGTGCGTGTATACGCGCTGGACTGTACGGTGAAATAGGGTCTACTTCCAAGCAATGCGTTAACTGCATTGACACTGGCTTCCCATAATTGAATTGAATGTTTACAATATTATTATAAGAATTTGGCGAGAGTGAAATGCTGACACGGAGGACCATTCATCGAACTATAATGAATCATATCCACGTCTACTGTCGTGAGGATGGTTGCCATAGTTACATTTTACTTTCAATTTGAGGTAGAAAAGACACTATGCTGCTGTGAGACAAGCTGCTGCTATTACTATCCACTATCATCCACCTGTCTGTGACGCAGTACTAGCAGAACCACTCTCCAGAACACGGCTAGAGCTCCTACTACCAATCTAACGTGTAAAGTTACGGTGTGTGTGAGTTATAGAGTTATAGTGTATTAGACCATAAATGATCCTCGCGGCTGTACGGAATCTCGTTGCGGAATAAATATATATATATATATATATATCATAATATATATATATATATAATTGAGCTTATATATAATATATATATGGCTTCTAGGACAAATCACCCCCGTACAATCACTCCGCCGGACATTACCACCGCGACAATACCCCCCGGACAATTACCCCCATGCCATTTACCCCCCCATCCGCCCGCCATTTAACCCCTCCCGCCCGGACAATTAGCCGCCCGACACTTTTCACCCCCCCGACAGATTACCCCGCAAGACCCCGCCAATACCCCCGACATTTACCCTCCCCGACAATACCCCGCGGACATTTACCCCCGGACAATACCCCCCGGACATTTACCCCCCGGACAAATTACCTCCCGACATTAACCCCCTCGGACAATTACCGCCCGCACATTTGACCCCCCGGACATTACCCCCCGGACATTTACCCCGGACAATCGCCCGCCCGACAATCACCTCCCGGACATTTACCCACCCTCGACAA